TAAGGAATGCGGTAAATATGATGGTGTTTGTATTAGGAATAAGGAGGGCAAATTAAACCATTGTACCCATACTTGTAATTTGGATAAGGAGGGGTGGAGAGATCGCTGAACTCATCAGGTTTGAACACAAAATTCAAAATGAGCTGTTGACAGATAGTCCAGGAGATCTTGACTTTATTTTGGTTCTGTTAGTCTTTAATTTATTGAAGAAATGGGAGGCGTGATCTTTCTGTTTCATCATAACCTGACTGCTTCAGATAAGTGGTCAAATTTTGCATGTTTTAACGGTGAAACTGAATCTGTACTGTTCTACTGAAGCTTACTATTATCCTAGGAAAGGGATTTTTCAAATAAATGAGGTCTGGAGTCTTGTAAAAACTGCACTTTGAAACACGTTTTAATTTACCGTGAGAAAATATTTCAAAATGTGGTTTCAACTAAAAAAGGTAATATAGTTGCCTATTTCAGATTTGTTGTTGGGAAAGACTGGAATTGGTGATCAAGAAGCTGGTTTTCAGTTAGCCAGCTCAGCATCTATGCAGTCTATCTTTGGAACATTTAGTTATGATCACTGTTCATGTGTGGTTATTGGAGCCAAGTCTTTACAGTAAGGTTACATTTTGAAATGTGTAGTTGTTGAAGTGCCAGTAAATTACGGTATTGTAAAAGGGCTTCAGTAATCCTTGGTTATGGGCGTATGAAATTTTCATTATGTCCGTTTGAACTATAAAAAGTGCCCTGCCGCATAATTCTAGTTTAAGACTTTCCAATTGTGGCTTGAGTTTGTAATGTATTTTTCAAGCTGTCTGACAGTAGGGTTGTTAAAGGTCTCCCCCTGGTGCTGGAAATAGTTTAATGTGATGAGTTGAGCATCGACAACAAGCAGGGTGTGCTGTCCATTATTGGTCTTGTCTCTTGCCACTTTGTTGTTTTATACTGTATAAACTGTTTGGCAAACTGCATTACTAAAAGGTACAGGTACAAAATAATCAAAAATGCTAATGGAAACTTGGCTTTTATTTCAAGGAAATTGGATCTCGGGAAATGTGTAAGTGATGCTTTAGTTACACAGTTTTAGCCAGATCCTGTCTACGTTGCTGCTTTCGATATTAGATGGGAAACTTCAGGAAATGTATATTAATGTCTAATATACATTAGAAAGGGCAAAGTGCAAATTCACCAGAATTACAGTAGGTCTTAAATTTTGAAGACATGTTACATGTAAACATAGCTCCTATTTGCTTGATTTTAGAGGATGATCATTTTGGAGTATTTAAAATGATTGAGGGATTCAATAGGTTAGATACAGTTACAATATTTGTTCTGGTTAAAAGTCTTAAAATTAGTTTTAGCTACTTAGAGACAAAATCAAGTGATTTTTCGTAAAGGTTGTTGAATTATTGAATACTCCAGACATAGAAGTTGGAGAATTGAGGTACAGATCAGCCTAAATAAAACTGAATAATAAAACAAGCTTGAGGCGCTCAATTGCCTACTTCTATTCCTATTGATCCACATGCAATTTGCTATTTTTATTCAGGCTTATCAGTCTCCAAACACATGCAGAATGAAGTTGTTGAAAAGTTAGAATACTGTGAAAATTACACTAAATAGTGCTTTTTAATCAGTTGTTCATTTGAAGGAAAAAGAACTTTGGACTAAAGAATCTCAAGAAATGTTTTCCCTTTGGGAGACCAGAACTAGAGGTCACAGTTTAAAAATTAAGGGCCTATGATTTAAAGAGATGAGAAGAGTGTTTTCTTCAAGGGTTGATGCTCTCTGGAATTCTTCTCTTCAATTTCAGGCTGAGGTTGATAGAGTCTTGATTGATGAGGGAGTCATGGGGTATTGGGGTTAGAAAGGAAAGTAGAATTTAGGCCACAATTAGATGAGTCATCATCTTATCAAATGTCAGAGTGGACACAAGGGGCTAAAGGACCAACTCCTCTTAATTTATATATTCATATGTGATAAAACAAGGGAACAAAATATATTTTTTATTAATAAAACATACAAGAAAATTTATAGATAGTTGACAGTGCATCAGTCAGAACTCTTGGCACGAGGTGTTTGGGGTCTTGGAGCAAAGTGGAAGTGTAATCTGATATTTGTGGAAGTAATGGTTCCTCTGTTTTCTAGGAGGGATGGTGTTATCTATGGAGCAGGCTGGGAAAGATCAGTGGGGATGTTAAGTGATAACTCTAGAGTTCTATTTGATAATGTATCCTGAGCAAAGAGTTTTACTTGCTGCAATTAAGAAAATTAATTGCAGATTTTTGTTTTTAAATATGAGTCTTCTAAAACTTCAGAACTGCTAACTGCGAAATACAGAACAAAATATGTTTCTTTCCTGTGTCCCTGGGAATGCTGTTTTGCTGAGACTGGGCAAGTAATTCAGTTCCTTATACAATATATGAACAAACACATAAATTAGGAGCAGAGGCAGGACATTTGGACCTTCAAGCATGCTCTGCCATTCAGTGACATCACAGCTGAACCTGTTTGCATTTAAAATTCCATATGTTCATCTGCTGCCAATAACCTTCGATTCCCTTGCCTAACAAGCATCTACCTACCTTCGCCTCAAAAATATTCAGTGATTCCACCTCCATCACCTTCTGAGGCAAAGAATTGTAATCTTTTACAACCCTCTGTAGAACAACAGAAGTACCAATACTGCCACAGGGATTCGAGCTGTTCAGTTCTTTTAAAGATGTTTAGGGATTCATTTGGTTTTTATATAGTTTCCTGTTGACACCATTTTATTCTTAAAGCAGATTACAGATATGCTTTTATGTAGGAATAGAGAGATTTCACACACAGCCTTTTGACCTTGCTAAATTTGTAGCAGTATTGACTAAGCGTGGGAAGTGTTGCTGTTGCTTGTATGTAGATCTTCACATGCAGCGCTTGTTATGAAAGCAGACACCAAACATTCTGTGATTAACAATGTTGAAATGTGAAAAGCGTCCAGAATGTAGTATAGATCTTGTCCTTCTAAACCAGAGCTGCGTGGAAACAACATTTTGAGCTGAATGACACTGAGATGTGTTATGATCCCAACTGATGTTATTATTGGACTAGTCAGATCCCAGACTGAAATCTGGCTTGATAAATCATATTTTATTTTTCTTTGGTTTTAACAAAGTTCTCTTTCACTGAAACACAAACACAACATTGTAGATTTGATTTTAACAATTGAACAAAAATTTATTATGGAAAAGAAATGAAGAAAATAAATGGAATAAACCAAACTACTTAAATATAAAACAAGTTTAAAGATTTTGACAGTGAAGTATAATCCCATTAATCCCAACAGCATTTCTTTACAGTATTTGCACCTGAGAGAATTCCCTTTTCTATCACATTGATAAATAAAGTTGCTGTGATTCCGGAGGAGTATAGGGCTGCTCTCTCATGAGAGGGAGGACTGGTGGTGATTTAACCTGACCGTCACCACACCTCAGGCAAGGGAGAAATTGAGAAGGAGGGACCATCATGGTAACATCAATCAGTATAAGATTTGAACCTGCACTGTTGGTGTCACTCTGCATCTCAAACCAACTGCTGATCCAACAGCAAACCGACTCCATCGTATCTGTAGGGCTTAACTAATGCTTTAATTCCCGTTCATGGAATCTGATAGCTTCTTCCTTGACAAAAACCCCTTCAGAGTTTTAACCAAATGTCTCTTCTGGAATTTTTTTGTACATTCCTTGCGCTGAGGTAACCTATTTGTTAGCAGTTCTAAATGATCTCCTTTTGAAGGAGAAACTGTTTCATACATCCAGGATTTCTGCACACTGAAATCAAAAGGCTTTCTAATTTACGGGTGTTTCCACAAGCCCCAGAAAAATTCTGAATCCTTCTGACTGAAGTTAATTAGATGACAGAGTATATCTTCGTACTAAAAAATTCTCCCAGATTAAACTGATTCCCATTAGCTTCCAAGAAACTTTTTTTAACATTATCTATGGCTTTAGAAAGCGTTACAGGTTAATCATTAGACCCCTTCATAGACACAGACCAAAACCCACATGTTACTAGTTCAAAACTCCAACTATAAAATATATTATGTTAAAATATTCATAAGTTACATATCTTAAATCAGGTGTATAACTGGTGAGCGGTGCAATTGGTGTTAGAGATGGAAGCAATTTGAGTTAAGAACCTCAAGTGAGAAGCTTTTTAAAAATCTAATGTGTCATTTTTAAGGGTAAGTTTTATTCTACTACACTGTTGTCTATACTTAAAATGTCTCATGACACTATGAGCGAGATCTGTATCTCACTGATCTGATTGTACTGATTCAGTTCTGGATACTAAGAGAGTCCAAAACTAAATGCCAGACAACTTTCAAAGTTTTTCAAATGGGTGAAGAGCATGCGGGACAGAACAGATAACCTTAGGATGGTTTATTTGATTGGAAATCTGGATGGGCATGGTTTGTAAACACTGACTTCGTGCTTTATTCTTTATTTGCCATTTTTTTCAAAAGAATATCCCCTACCTAGCTGTGATCGCTGTTATACCCAATTTCAACTAATAGGAAAAATCATGCGTACTTCAAGTATCTGTTGTACATTAGAGATGCTCCTGAATCATGAGGTGCTGATAATAAACCCACAAAAGAAATTTTTAAGTCCCATCAGATTTCGAAGGGACATGTTCTTGCGGTATAACCAAGAATATCAGATAGAGAACCTTGCAGAGGTGTCCCCTTCATTTATGCCATTATTGATTCCTGTGCCAGGGATAGGTTATGTTTTTATTCTGACGTATGCGTGCGCAGTGAAGTCCAAAACTCTGTGAAGATGGTGGAGAAAGCAAGGCTAGTGTAACAACAGTGCCCCAGCATTCTAGCACTACCAACATCTAGTTCGTGTTACTCTTGAACATTGAGTTAATTTTTTAATCTTTTGTTTTACAGTTAATACAGCTGAGAAATGCCACACTTTCAATACACAACTGAACAATTCTTTCGTATTTTTGATATACAGTGGCATGCAATGGCCAGCTCGTCAGACAGCGAGGATGACAGTTTCATTGCCATGGATACAGAAGAAGTATTGGATGGGACCATGGAACAGGATGAAGAAGCTCATGTTGAATTGGAAGTTGAAGAAATGAGGCATAACCGCTCAATGTTAGAGTTGCCTGAGGAAGTGCTGGAATACATCTTGTCTTTCTTGTCTCCATATCAGGAGCACAAAACAGCTGCTCTTGTTTGTAAACAATGGTATCGACTCATTAAAGGTATGGTTTGTGGTTCAGGTAAAATGTTTAGAGTAGAATAGAGGCCTGGAGCTTTGACCAAAATATTAATATGAATCATAGATTGGTCATAAAACAGAAAGAAATCAGATGTCCTTTATGTCTGTGCTGGATCTTTGCAAGAGCAACTCGAACTGATTCCACTCTCCTGCCCTTTCGCTCTTCCCCTACAATTTTCTTCTCTTCAGGTGCTTATTATTTCTGTATTGAAAGACACAATTGAATGTGTCTGTCAAAACCTCATGTAGTGCATTCTTGATCCTAATCACTTACTTTGGAAAAATGATCTTTCTTCTGTCACTGTAGGTTCTTTCATCATTCAATTTAAATGAGTGTTCTTTAGTTCTTGACCCTTCTGCCAATGAGAACTGTTTATCTCTATTTCCTATGTCCGGAGCCCTCGTGATTTGGAACACCCCCACCAAATTTCCTCTTCACTTTCTCTTCCCTGATGAAAGAACCTCAGATTTCTCAATCTTTTTATAAAATTGAAGTCCTCTATCCCTTGAGCCATTCTCATAAATCTTTTCTGTATTCTGTCCAAAACCTTTAGGTCCTTCCTAAAGCTTGGTGTCCAAAATTGGATGCATACTCCATTTGAACTGGTGTAGTATAAATGTTCATCGTAACTTTTTTGTCTGCCTCAGTTTGTGAAGGCCAAGATCTCGTTTGCCTTTTAATTGCTTTCTCAACCTGTCCTACCACCTTCAACAATTTGTGCACACATATCTACAGGTCTTTCTGTTCCCACACCCACTTTAAAATTGCACCATTTATATTGCACCACCTTGCTCTTCCTACCAAAATGCCTCACTTCACACTTTTCTTTGTTAAATTTTTGCCATGTGATAAGAGTGGGTGGGATGCTCTTGAAGAGAGCTGGCATGGAAACAACATGCTGTATGACATTCTGTGCTGTAGCTATTCTAAATCCTCTTGAAGTCTATCCTTCTCTCAGTTCGGATTACTTCCAGTTTTTGTGCTGTTTGCAAATCATGACATTTTTTGTACATCCAGAGTCTATGATGTTAACATTTATAGTGAAAAGTAGTGATCCAAGTACTGACCGCTGGGGAACTCCATTGTATATCATGCTCTTTTTTGAAAAATCACCCCTCACTATTAATCTGTTTCCTGTCCCACGTCCAACTTTGTAACATGCTAAACCTTTTATTGCACAGACCTCTGCTTGACTGATAAGCCTGTTAGGTGACACTTAGCAAATACCTTGTGGAAGTCCTTGTGCACCATGCCAACTGCATTACTGACATCTACCTTCAACATAAGAACTAAGATCCGTAAGAACTAGGCCCTTCAGCCCTGTTCCATCATTTAATACGCTCATGACTGGTCTCATCTCAGCCTCAACTCCACTTTTCTCCCTGCTCCCCATTACCAATTAAAAATCAGTCTATCTCATCAAAATTATTCAGTGACCCGGCATTTACTGCACTCCGGTTTTGTGAATTCCACAGATTCATGACTCTGAGAGAAGTAATTCCTACTCATCTCTGTTTTAAATCTGCAGCCCTTAGCCTAAAACTGATCTCTTGTTCCACATTGCCCTTCTAAAGGAAACATCCATTAAATATTTATTTTGTCAATCCTCTTTAGCATCTTTTCTGTTAAAAAAAATTAAACAAGTTTGTTAAACATGATTTCCTTTTACAAATCTGTGCTAGTTTTCCTTAATTATTTTGCACTTGTCCATATGATTGTTAATTATTATAATTTTTGAAATAATTAAACTGCCTTGTCTGTAGTTGCTAGTTTTATACTTGCAAACTTTTTAAAAATAAGGATATAACATTTACAGTTCTTCAGTCCTGTGGCACCACCTGCATCCTCGAGGAAGATTGAAAAGTTATGACCAGAACCTTTGTAATTTCCTCCTTTACGTTCCTCAACATTTTTGGATGCATTTCATCTGGATCTGCTGAATTGTGAACTGTAGTTCAACACTTTTCCAACATGTTCTTTTGATCATTTTTAGCTCATCCATAATTTCAATGACCTCCTTTTTCACTGTGACTTTGGCAGCCTCAGCTTCTTTGATAAAGACATGTGCAAAGCATTCATTTAGTACTTCTGTTGTACTCTCTGCTTCTATGTGCTCCTTTTTGGCTCAACTTGGCCTCATCTCTCCTCTTCATATCCTTTTGCTACTTATATGCCTGTAGAAGACTCATGGATTCTTTAAGTTAGGAACGTTCTTCTTGGATGCTCTCCTTCCCCCTCTCATTTCCTTTTTCAGTCTCTGCTGCACTTTCTACATTTGACCTGATTTTCACTTGCAGTATCACCCTGACATAGACCCTCTTTTCCCTATCTTTGCTCCTTGCAGAAATTACCTCAATTGTAAATGAACCAGCTCATCTTTAAAGGCAGACAATTGTCTGTTACTGTTTTTCCTGCCAAAGTTTATCTGGACCAGATCTGTTCTCACCACATTGAAATTAGTCCTCATCTACTTTGGCATTTCTACTCAAGGTTGCCTTTTCATTACCAATCTAAACCTTTTGACACTGTATCAGCCCTAATCTAATTGAATGGTGAAGCATGCTTTATGGGCTGAATAGCATACACCTATTCCTTCATTCACTGTAACCTACATGTTTCTCTATTGACACTTTATCCATCTCACTCCCGACAGTCAGATCCAATAGAATCATAGAATTGTAGAATCTCTACGGTGTGGAAATAGGACATTTTGCCCATCAAGTCCACACCGACTCTCTGAAGAGCATCCCACCAGACCTGCAATACACCTAGCAAAGGAATGGTCCTTCTATTGTTTCTTAATTATAGTCAAATAGATTCTGTTCTTGACCCCTCCAAGGTCTCTCTCCCTTCAGCACTATACTGTACTCCTTAATTGATACTGCCACCTTTCCACTTTCTTCAGCAGCTCTGATGAAGAGTCATCTAGACTCGAAACGTTAGCTTGCTCTCTCTCTATGGATGTTGCCTGACCTGCTGTGTTCTCCAGCATTTTTTGTTTTCTCCACTTTTCTCCCCTGAACATTTTATATCTAGGAATATTTGGCATTGATACCTACATTTTTTGATCAAGGTCTCTGTTATTATATGATATAATATTCCCATGTAGCTATATGTGCTTGCAGCTCACCAGCCTTTTTTACCACATTTAGTGCATTAATACATGTACATTGCAATCTTAATTCAAATGTTACTGTATTCTGTCTTAATCTGACTCAGCTAAGTATTCTGTTATTTCTGAAATAGTGCTCTCTGTCTCTCTCAATCTTTTGTGCACCTTGTTTCTCCTTTCTAATGCTGCATCCTGATTCCTACCCCTTGCGAACTTCAATTCAGAATGTAATGTGAGTGATACAGCAAGGAAATGAAAAGAAGTAGAACATTTTTGTGAAAAAGAAAATGCTTAATACTATTCGACAGTATTGAAAAAAAACTTTTATCCATCCTTCCTTCCTATTCATAACTTATCTTTAATTTACGTCCTGGAGTTTGAACTTTTCGGCATAAGGAATAGTGTACCCAGATCTGCTGTGTATCAGATTGCTTCACTACCTTGAAAACTTTAATGAAGTGAAGATCAAGAGGCCATGAGTTATTCTACATCATCTTAACTGGCACGCATGTTTGCTTGCCTTCAGTGAGGCAAGGTTCATGGTATCTTCTGGTGTTGCCACTTCGTTTAACCACCAGTGTCAACTTGTTGCAGAGCAACTGTGCCATCCTCATCCTAAAGATGCACTCGTAACGGATTCTTAATTTTATAGATCTTTGTTGACCTCTTGCACAAAAGGTGTATGATGGTTCAGTGCCCTGGGATAATAGTGATGGAAGGACCCGTCTTGAACTCGTTTATGCTGATGTGTTCATAGCCTTTGCTGTAATTCCTGCTCCAACTTCCCTGCCATTTTGGGTTTTCCCATCTCCACTGAGTTTCTGATTTCTGTTGCCACACAAATATCAGGCAATGATCATTTCCAATAAGAGACAATCTACCCACTGCCCCTTGACATTCAATGGCATTACTATTACTGAATCCCCCAGTATCAACATCCTGAGGTTTACCATTGACCAGAAACTCAGCTGGACTCGTAATATAAATACAATGGCTACAAGAACAGGCCAGAGGCTAGGAATACTGCACCAAACAACTCAAAATCCAGACTCCCCAAAGCCTGTCCACCATTTAGAAGGCACCAGCCAGGAGTGTGATGGAATACTCCACACTTGCCTGGATGAATGCAGCTGAAACAACACTTGAAGCTTGACACCACTGAGGACAAAGCAGTCTGCTTGATTGGCACTACATCTATAAGCATCCACTCCCTCCTCCACTGACACTCAGTAGCAGCAGTGTGAACCGTTTACAAGATGCAGTGCAGAATTTGCCAAAGATCCTGCGACGGCCATTTCGAAACCCATGGCTACTCCCATCTAGAAGGATCCATGGCAACGCAATCACCTTCGAGGTCCCCCCCAAGCCACTCACCATGCTGACTTGGAAATATATTGCTGTTCCTTTACTCTTGCTGGATCAAAATCTTGAAAGTCTCTCTCTGACAACGCTGTGGGTCTACCTACAGCCGGTCTAGACTGCAGCAGCTCAAGAAGGCAGTTCTCTTTCTCAAGGACAACTAGGGATGGGCAATAAATGCTGGCCAGGCAGTGAATCCCAGGTCCCATAATCAAAGTTTTTAAAAATTGTGTTTGTGGGGGTGGCTGGGTAGCGGGGAAAGGGAATGGACAATCAAAAATAAAATTGCTGTATCAGTACTATATGTAGTATTGTAATTGAATAAAAGTGTAATTGCTAGAGTTTTGAGAGTTAGTTATCTGCCTAAAGTAAATGTCGTCTTGAAATCTCTACACTTGGAGAATTAGAGGCTGAGGAGTGACCTTATAGAGGTTTATAAAAACATGGAGGGTATGGATAGTGAACCGCCAAGGTGTTTTTCCCAGGATAAGGGAATCCATAAATGGAAGACTGGTTTAAGGTGAGAGGGGAAGGATTTAAAAGGGACCTGAGAGGGTGGTGCGTGTATGGAACGAACTGCCAGAGGAAGTGGTGGAGGCTGGTACAGTTACAACATTTAAAAGGCATATGGATGCGTGCATGAATAGGAAGGGTTTAGAGGACATGAGCCAAATGCTGGCAAATGGGACTAGATTGATTTAGGATATCTGGTCGGCATGTACGAGTTGGACTGAATCATTTGTTTCTGTGCTGTATATCTCTAACTGTTTGACCTGAAAGTGGAGGGAAGGGTTGGGGAAATGGTGATGCGGATACAAGTAGTTCTTTCCCTCATTGAAAATGCCACTAAACTCTTGTATCTCTTTGATTCCAGGCGTGGCTCACCAGTGTTACCATGGTTTCATAAAAGCTGTTCAAGGAGGATATATTCAGTGGGAGAGCCGCACCTACCCTTATCCCGGGACTCCGATTACCCAGCGCTTTTCACACAGTAAGTAGAGTTTCCTGATGGCATTGTATGGGGCTAGGTAGAGGGTGTTTATTAATGCAGCTACTGTGCTGTATTGGTGCTGCAGTCCTGTATGGGTTGCAACTGCCATTTACTGAAGCAGAAAACCCACAGGGACTGTGCTAATTTACATGGCTTGTTAAGTCATATTCTATTTTTAATATTGTTTTTTGGGGATTTACCAAGAGTAGAGTGAAACTTAGAATAGCGCTCACTGTGTTCTTCTACTTTTCAGTCTTTCTTCCTCAACAGTATTGGACTAGAAAAGTAAAGAAGCCTTATTGCAATAGGAGATTTTGGCTGGAGTGCTGTTGGCAGTTTTGGCCACCTAAACTAAGCAAGGAGGATATATGTTTCTTGGAAGGAATGCAACAAAGTCCCTCAACTATGAGGATGAATGGAAAAGGCTCTGCATAGGTGTCTTGTAACTAATTGTGATGTACAAGGATCTGTTTTTTTCACCCCCTTTCAGTGTTCACATTTAGTAGAATAAGACAACTGCTGATTAATGAAAACTCACTTTGCTGAATCATCATTACTGCCCATTGCTAAGCCAGTTTCTAAATTAACAAGCTTTAACTTTTTCTTAATGATCCTTACGCAGGAATGCTTTCAAACCTGACTGAAAATCTGACCAGGATAACAGGACAACTCCTGTCCCTCTTTAGACATCTACTGGAACATGTTTAAGGGATGGTGCCATAGCACCACAAGAACCCTAATATCTCAGTTGTGTAGATAGTTTTAATCAGTCTGTTCGGATATGTTCTGACACATATCTAGAGCAGGTGGGACTTGAACCCAGCTCTCCTGGCCCAGAAGTAGGGACACTAGCATTATGATGCAAGACCTCTAGCATCTCAACTGTAGCTTGGATATATTAGTAGTATCATTTACATTAAGCAAATTTACATCTCTGATTACAAAAAAGACCTCACTGCTGTTTTTACCTTGAAACTCTCAAGTCATATTTAATGGGATTTACTACTACCTTGAGACAAAATATTCAACAGTAGTATGTTAACATTGACATTCAACGGTGTTACCATCACTGAAAACCCCACCAACAACATTTTGGGGGTTATCATTGACCAGAACCTTGACTGACTCACCACATAAACACTGGCTACAAGAGCAGGTCAGAAACTAGGAATACTGTAGCAAGTAACTCACCTCCTGACTCCTCTAAACCTGTCCAACATTTACAAGGCACAAGTCAGGAGTGTGATGGAATACTCCCCACTTGCGTGGATGAGTACAACCCCAACAACACTCAAGAAGCTTGACACCAACCAGGACAGCCTGCTTGATTGGCACTACATCCACAAATATCCACTCCCTCCTCCACTGATGCTCAATAGCAGCAGTGTGTACTATCTACAAGATGCGCTGTAGAAATTCACCAAAGATCCTCAGACGGCGCCTTCCAAACACACAACCACTTCCATCTAGAAGGACAAGGGCAGCAGATATATGGGAATGCCACCACCTTCAAGTTCCCCTCCAAGCCACTCGCTGTCCTGCCTTGGAAATACATCGCTGTTCCTTCACTGCCGCTGGGTCAAAATCCTGGAATTCCCTCCATAATGGCATTCTGTGTCAACCCGCAGCATGAGGACTGCAGCGGTTTGAGAAGGCAGCTCACCACCACCTTCTCAAGGGCAATTATGGACGGGCAGTAAATGCTGGTCAGCCAGTGATACCCACGCCCCACAAATGAATAAAAACAAATCAGAACAGTGTTGCAGTTTAGTTTTATTGTAGTGTAGCTTTTGGCCTCTGTACTCTTCATATTCTCAAGCTAGGGTTTCTACTGTTCATCTGTTTAATTCCAGGTGCTTGTTACTATGATGCCAATCAGTCCATGTACGTCTTTGGAGGTTGCACTCAAAGCAGTTGTAATGCAGCATTCAATGACCTTTGGCGGCTTGACCTTAACAGCAAAGAATGGATCCGACCTCTGGCATCAGGTATGTCATAGAACAAAGAGACGAAGTGTCAAAATACAACATTAATCAAAATAATGGTATCCACCATCCTGCCAAGAGATGTCAGATTGAAAGAGGAAAAAAATGCCTGGTTTGGATACGTTTCTTGATAGATTGTTGCTTCTTGTTCTAATTCAAAGTTAATGCCTTGCTAGGCTGTGTTAATTCATAACAGTGAACAGTTACACAAACAAAAGATGTTGGTTAATGGTGGTGCAATAGATTCCACAATATTGCAGCAATCTTCCTAAATGGCCTAATGGAGGATGCAGGAGACTGGATCTTGGCTGACTGGATCAGCCACGCACAATGGAGCTGATCTCAGCCAGCAGTTCGAGTGCAACTGTTTGTCTCAGCATTCCTTTTGGTAGGGCAGTAAAAATTAAGTAGAATTCCTGATGCTGATCATTATCGGTTGGAAATTATGAGTGTGGTCACAGGTGAGAACAAATAGGCTCGTCTGTAATGCTTTCCACAGTTGACTAGCATGCCGTTAGAGCTCCAATATGAAGATTGGGCACCTGAATAAAGTCCTGAAAGACTGCTAGAGCCCATGGAACCTATTCTGTAATATGTGTTGAAATGTTCAAGAAAATAAATAATAAAATTGACAAAGGAGAATTTCCACGTGAAACATTCTCTTTATAGTGAATATTTTTGCTTCACTGGGACTTAAACCACATTAGACCCCAGAGCAGCTGTTAGCCTGAAGTGAGGAATTCCAGAAGGAATTTATCTTCTCCTTATGAATTCTTCCAGCTGTGCCCTGAATTTCAGAATCAGAAGCATACCTATTGAGTGTTTTCCACATGAGTAGAAGGAGTGAGCTTTAATTCTTTTATCCTGAAGACATCTAGAGCAGAATCAAACTGTTTTCTTTGGGATGGAATCCTATAACTGTCAAGAAATTGCATGCAGGAATGAGGATCTTTATAAAATTGGATAGTTGATTTTTTTTATAGAAGTGTTTGGAACATTTCTTTTGATAATGCTATGTGTGTTCGTCATTCATAAAAGTACAAAACTAATCGTAATGGAAAAAACAGTGCAGAAGGGTGTTAGTGGTGTGCACATAATTTTTAAAAACTGTTCTTGCCCATTTCTTCCCCTCTCTTAACCAGCAATGCCTCTTGCTTATGGTTCTGCAAATGTTGTATGCCTTCTGGTACCTTGTAAGTGACTGTTTTACATGTTTTGGCATTGCTAATTGTTGGCAAGATACTTAGCCGTTTGGGTCCATCTTGACCTTATCTGATGCCTGTACACATGTCCTTCGATCAGAATTCACTGAAGAAATTTGCAATGAGTGTAATGGCCAATTTTTCTTTTCTTGATCCAGCTGTAGTGGACTGTTTGCAGCCTCATGTCCCAGCTGAAGAAAGGAGGACAAAAACATTTATTTAGGTAGTGGCTGCCTTAGGGCATCCTAACTACTTTGCAAACATGGAATTATTTTCAGAGTATGTTTGCTGTTGTTTTATAGGAAAATGCAAATTGGTTGTATGCTGAGTTTTAGCCAGGGCATCCGTTCCTCTTTGGGAAAAGTTTTGTAACATAAATCTGAATGTGTAGTCGGGGACCATTATGCCCAAATCCCCCTACAATCCAGCTTTCTCTTAGTGCTGTACTTTAGTGTGTGACTCTGCATTACGTACTTAGGAGTTTTAGTGTGACTCGAATCCCCGACCCTGTAGTTGAGAGTGCTGCTATTGAGCTAAACTGCACAAAATTAACTTTTTTTATTCACTACTGGGATATGGGTGTCGCTGGCCAGAAGGCATTTATTACCCGCCCTAGTTTCCCTTGAGAAGCTGGTTGTGAACAGCCTTTGTGAACTGCTGCAGTTGATGAGTTGCAGGTAGATCTACAATACAGAATGGGGTGAATTCCAGGATTTTGACACAGTAACGTGAAGGCATGGTGATATATTTTCAAGTAAGGATGATGAGTGGATTCGAAAGGAACTTGCAGATGATGGTTCTCATGTATCTGCTGCCCTTGTACTAGATGTCTAAGGAGCCTTGGGAGAGAGCAATTAATAAAGTGTATAGTATCCTTGGCTTTATTAATAGGAGTATAATGTACAAGAGCAAGGAAATGGTGTTGAACTTGTATAAGAAGCTGGTTAGACCTCAGCTGGAGTACTGTGTACAGTTTTGGGCACTACATAATAGGAAAATGTGAATGCATTGGAGTGAGCGCAAAAGTAATTTAAGAATGGTTCCAGGAATGAGAAGTTTCAGTTATGAGGATAGATTGAATAAGTTGGAACTGTTCTTCTTGGATAAAAGGCTAAGAGGAGGTCTAATAGAGGTTTTTAAAATCATGAGAGAGATCATAGTGTAATAAATCATAGTGTAATAAGGAGAAAACATTCCTGCTTGTTAAAGCACAAGTTTAAATGATTTGAAGAAAGAACAAAACATGGAACAGTACAGTACAGCACAGTACAAGCTCTTTGGCCTACGGTGATGTGCCGACCTATTATCCTACTGTAAGATCAAAACTAACCTGCATACTCTTCATTTTACTATCATCCATGTGCCTATCCAAGAGTCACTTAAATGTCCCTAATGTAACTGACTCTACTACCACTGCTGGCAATGCATTCCATGCACCCATCACTCTCTATGTAAAGAACCTATCTCTGATATCTCCCCTATACCTTCCTCCAATTACCTTAAAATTATGCCCCCTCGTGATAGTCATTTCCGCCCTGGGCAAAAGTCTCTGGCTATCCACTCTATCTATGCCTCTCGTCATCTCGTACATCTTTATCAAGTCACCTGTCATCCTTCTTCGCTCCAATGAGAAAAGCCCTAGCTACCTCAACCTTTCCTCATAAGACCTGTCCTCCTTTCCAGGCAGTATCCTGGTAAATCTCCTCTGCACCCTGTCTAATGCTTCTACATCCTTCTTATAATGAGGTGACCAGAACTGAACATAATATTCCAAGTGTGGTCTAAGCAGGGTTTTATAGAGCTGCAGCATAACTTCGTGGCTCTTGAACTCAATCCCCCTGCCAATGAAAGCCAACACACCATATGCCTTCTTAACAACCCTGTCAACTTGGGTGGCAACTTCGAGGAATCTATGGACATGGACCCCAAGACCCCTCTGTTCCTCCCCACTACCAGGAATCCTGCCATTAACCCTATGTTCTGCATTTAAATTCGACCTTCCAAGATGAATCACTTCACACTTTTCCGGGTTGAATTCCATCTGCCACTTCTTTGTCCAGTTCTGCATCCTGTCAATGTCCCATTGCAACCTACAACAGCCCTCCACACTACCCACAACTCCACCAACTTTCGTGTCATCGGTAAACTTTCTAACCCACCCTTCCACTTCCTCATCCAAGTCATTTATAAAGATCACAAAGAGCAGAGGTCCCAGAACAGATTCCTGTGGCAACACCACTGGTCACCGAGCTCCAGGCTGAATATTTTCTGTCTACTACCACCCTCTGCCTTCTATTGGACAAATTTCCCTGAATCCCGTGCTTCCTTACTTTCTGAATGAGCCTACTATGGGGAACCTTATCAAATGCCTTGCTAAAATCCATAAAACTGTGAGTAGATAGGGCATAGAATGTTCTGTTTGGAAGTGTGATGGAAGCAGCTTCAGTTGAAGAATTCTAGAGGACATGAGAAGATTAATTTGAATTAATTTGAAAAAGCAGGAGACTGGCAATAGGTGATCATGCTCATTGGAAGAATCTCTGCAGGCACAATGGGCCAAATGGCGTTTTTTGTAGCATAATGCTTTCTGTGTGTCTGAACCCAAAAGGGATGGATGAATGGGACTTGGTGCAAATTAAGGTACAGACAGAGTTGCTCTGAATGAGATTAATTTTATTGAGGGAGGGAAGATGAGTTACTAGCTGGGAAGAAATTTGGTTCAAATGACTAACTTGCAATAGAGAGAAACTGAGCCTAGAGCTACCCTTGTCTTTATGGTTCAACCTTCACTGAACTTGGTAACTATCAAGAATGCCTTCTTTAGATAAATGGTGAATGGACTGGGGTGAATGTTGGATGAATTGAAAGTAGATAAATTTAAGATTTGGATGGGGTTAATGAAATCAGTAGAAAATCAGTCCCAGAATTGATCTTCAAGCTATTTGTTTGTGATTTTAAGCTGACTATTTTGATCCAGTTTGAGTTGGTGATACAATATTTCATGCAGTGTTTGGTAGTCTGTCTTCAAAGGAAACGAAAGCATTTGATATTATTGAGAGATGGCAGGAAGCATGAACCCAGAATTAAAATGTTACAAAGGAGAGTCATAACATTGATATATTCTTGTTACCTTCTCCTAAAATCTCCTGTTTTTCCTTGATGTGAACAAATGCTTTTTTACATATTTTACGCCTTTCAGTATGTAATCAGGTTAATTTAAATTATGATTATAGAACGAGGGGACAGAAATACAACATTCTGACATTAGACTGACATTTTCCCACTGCAGAGCAGTATCTAATGTGGAGCAGACTCTGATCAAAAACAGCAAATGCTAAGTACTAAAAGGGAGCTGGATGAATATCTGGTTAAGAATGCAGTTGATGGTTCTGAGAGTAAGTATAGGCCTAGATGATCAAATACCGTAGGGAACCAATGATTACAATCCTTTCTGAAAGCATGAAGATTTAGTCTGGAATGTAGCTGCTGAAAGTTTGAGGAATGGAGCTGCATGATTGGTTTACTGAGGACAATGGGAGTATAACAAAACATAGTGTCTGGGACCAACTTCACAAATGTGTGGATCTGTGGGTGGCAAGTCAGTGGCTGATGAGAACTTAACGTACCCGAGCTGAGGTTTTGCCAAAGCCCTTTAAAATTGCAGTGAGATTTCTTTTACTCTCATGCTGCCATCTTTTCTAAGAAGCTTAATATTTTTTTCTTAATTGCCGCTGTACCTATAGGCTAGGTTTCTCTGAGTTGTAAACGAGGACCCAGCCCCTTTCCTTTTAGACAACATAT